AAAGTCAGGTAGCAAAAGTGTCGATGCAACATTGTACAAACAACTAGTAGGATGCTTAATGTACCTTACGATAACTCATCCCAACTTAATGTTTGCGGTTTGCTTGATTTCTCGTTATATGGCTGATCCTAAAGAACATATGTTGATTGCTAAAAGGGTACTGAGATATTTAAAAGGCACATTAGATGTTGGAGTTTATTACAAATGGAGTAAGGATGTAAATCTTTTGGGATACATAAACAGTGATTATGCCCGAGATATTGATGACAAGAAAAGAACTTCAGGCTATGTTTTCTTTTTATACTTCAGGCTATGTTTTCTTTCTAAATAAAGCAGCAATAGGTTGGAGTTCAAGGAAGCAGGGAATTGTCACACTATCATCTATAGAAGCTGAATATTTAGTTGCCACTGCAAGTGCATATCATGCTGTTTGGCTTAAGGGAATTCTGGAGCTAGGTGTTCTAAGCAGTGAGTGCATCGGTATCATTTGTGATAGTAGTTCAGCAATCAAATTGTCTAAGAACCCAGTTATGCATCGAAGGACAAAACATATTGATGTCAGGTATCATTACTTACGTAATTTGTCAACTAATGGGGCTGTGAGGTTAGTGTTTTACGAAACTGAAGATCAAGTAGCAGACATAATGACTAAACCAATTAAGCTAGATCATTCAAGGCATGCTTGGAGTTCGACAACTTGAGTAAACTGATGCAGTATAATTCAGTTTAGGGGGAGGAATTTGTTGGAGTTTATGACTTGGTTTGCAAATTTTAGTTTACGGGAGGAATTTGTTGGAGTTTCTGACTTTGTCTGCAATTTTATAGCTGATTAATAGACTATGAGGAATTTGTTGGAGTTTCTGACTTTGTCTGCAATTTTATACCTGATTAATAGACTGTATCTATTTATTTTCAAATAGCTAATTGGTAGAAGTTCGATTTGTTTTTTGATTATGTTTTTAAATAGCTAATTTATAGCTCATATATGCACTCAATTTTGAGAAAACTCTTTTATTCTCGACATCACCTCTCACAATTTGATGTGGAGAAGTCAAATGAATTTACTTATTAAGTAGTAGTATGCTTCGAATATAAGTAAACGAACTATGTACTTTTGAAAATATTCCAAAATCAAACCAGAATTAAAATGGATGACAAGAAAATTCAAAAAATTTAAACAAGGTTAACACCGATGAAAGGTTGGAATAAGTTTAAGTTCCCTAAGATATAACTTTTGGCATATCCAAGATTAAGGTGGTAAAAGAGTGAAGTTACAATCTCATTCAACACCATGAGAGGATTAATAGCAAAGAACAACAGAAATTAAATACCAATAACTATAAAAGTTATTTTGCCCGGTAACTCTTACAAAGTTAAGAATAATGGAATAACTTAAATTGAGTTATAATTTAAAACCAATAGTTGAAACATAGGAGTTACAATAAGAAATTAATTATTGGAAAATTCAATGCGAAAAAATGTGTAATATCCAAGATTAAATATCAAAATGTTAAATCAATATACAAATGTCATAAATATCATATCAAATGAGCAATTTTAAGGTTAAACATGGAAAAACAATGGATCAAAACAAGAACACATATACTTGTATAGTAGTTTTTATATTAAAAAACCAGTTATAGAAAACCGTACTTTTCACCCTTAAGAAATTTGAATTAGGAAATCCCAAGGGAGGAAAAATTATACCTTAGATGATGATATACAAAAACATGAGAAATGTAAAAAAAAAAAAAAAAAAAAAATCCCTCGCCAAAAATTGTAAGATTTATAGAGAGGCGGTAGAGATCTATCTCGCAATCTAAAACCACTCATGTCCCAACAAAAGCTCCACCTCTCACCACTTCAATCATCTAAGCATTTCCTTCCATTTGAGGGCGATGGTTGGCGAATGATATCCTCCTTGGAGTGCGCCGGTCGGTGAGGTCATAGGCTTGATTCAGTGCTCAATAGAGGACAAGTCACACTGTGGAAAACAATTGACGATTCCAAGCACACAAACGATGAGCCTGATCGTGGTTTATGATGTTTCCACTATGCTACTCGTCGTCGGTGAGAACTTGGGTTTTATGAAGAATTTGTGATGACTCAATATTGTAGGTCATATAGGTGCTTTTGGCGTTTAAAGTCAATCTCACCCTCATTTGCTCAAATTAAGTTATTCCGAGCTAGAATTTTGAATTAAGGAATACTCTCTTAATTAAGTATGTTCATGTCATGTCTTGATATGATCTCGTGGGAAATATAGGTTAGAGTGAACAATAAGGAGAACCTCAAGTCACCTTCAAAAATATTGAGTGACTTCAGTCCAGACCAACCAAATAAGTGACTCTATTATCGGTTTGGTTGGAAGAATTGTTTTATGTATGATGACATGTGCTCGGTGGTCCTGCATGTGTCATACGTGTGATATGCTTTGATATGTGGTGTAATGTTACGTGTCTTTATATGATATGCCAAATAATATTATGATATAAAGGAAATATCATGTTATGTTGTGAGTGTCATGATGTACTATGATATGTTATGTTAGGCAATGATATTCTATGACATGCCATGATACGTTTTTAAAATATATTAAAGGAATGTTTCCACGGTTAATAACCATGTCATGCATGTAGTAGCAACTCTATTTCACTAGAAAAAATAGGGTTCTTAAAGGTGGAATAAGAGGCCTAGGTTATAGATTTTGTAGCTAGCCTACGTAGACTTAACATGTTCCATGATCCCACCACTAATGTTCCATCGCCATCAGGATGTCATGTGTAAGATAACAAAAAGTTATATTAAATGTCATTGTTAAATGTATTACTGTTGATGAGTTATTGTCAAAGCATTATTGATTGACGGTGCTACAGTTGACTGAGTTCCATGTTTATTATGATATAACGTACATACATGTTTTTTTTACCAAGAGAAGTAGACTTAAGAATATATATGCGTTGGTTATAGAATCATGTCACCTAACGGATATAGAAGAAAGGGATGACCTCTTGTTAGAGGACAAAGTAGAGGTTGAGGGAGTCGAGCTCGTAAAAGATTAGTAGACATTGGAACAACCAAAATATTTTACTATTTTAGAATTTTTTTTTTCTTTTTCATAAAAACTCAATATTTAAAATCGTTTACTTTCTACCACAAACTTCTAACAAAACAATGAAAAAAACACAAATAGAACAAATGGAACCAACCCTTGCGAATTCTAACATGCCCAATAAATAAGCATTATGAGAAGCCCAAGAATACACAAATATTCCTTTCAACAAAAAATTGTTCTCTTGCGGTTAACCAAAAGATCCGACCTCAAATTGAATCTATTCGATTCTAGGAAATTAACTCTATTCAACTTAAAATATTATCTAACGGAACTTTTATAATTGGTTCAACGTACATCCTCAAATAGATATTCATAGAGACCAAAATGGTAATTTAACCTAAAACAAAACACCATATCATTACAAATGAATTTGGTTCCTTTGTCATGAATATCATTACTAGGTTAGATACTATTTTTCCAACGGTATTTTAATTTATAGGGTGTCGAGCCTCACTAAAGCGTTTTTCTTAGGGTATTCAAAAAATTTGACAATTAAAAAAACTCAAACAACCCTTAGATTATGAACTTATTTAGGTTTAAAATTAGATGAGATAAATCAAACTAACCTATCGTTAATTTTTTTTTAAAAAAATACATTTATGCTTTAAAATCCAATTATATATACACATATTTATTTCATTTTTTTTAATGGACGACTCTTAAAAATAGTTTGGAAAGTAATTTTTCAACGTATATATTCAAATGAATTGTAAATCTAAATTAAAGGTAGAAAAATAAATAACCTTATGAAAAATAAAATTCCCTTTACTACCAATGATTCAGTTAAAAGTTAAAAAAAAAAATGTTTTTTTTGTTTCGAGTCCAGCCCATGAACACCACTAATGTTGTTTGGGCTGGTTTTATTGGTCGGCCTCTATTCCTACGTATTGTTAATGTTGGAGCATATTATTGGTCGGCCATGCAACTAAGTTCAGAGTTTCTTCCAATCTCCATCATTGATTCATTGACAGTGCTGTCATTTCATCACTTTAAACGTACAATGATCATAATTAACGCAACTGCATGCATTGCATTTGTAGCATAACAGCCTTATACAAATTGCTTCTGAAAGCGATACGCTCATCATTTAGTGCTTACAATCATCCCTTTTTTTCTATGCTTAATTCTTCTTTCCGGATTAGTCTATGATTTTGACTATATAATCATCAACAAAACTCACATCAACTTAACTTTTTGTTTTGGTCTATCACGTTTTTTCCCTTTTCAAATCAGCCACAAGCTGTTAGAAACAGCATCAGTCGGTGAATCCTATGATATACTTGTTCCTATCATCTAAGATCACGTGTAAGCGGTTCCATTATTTGGCCATTCGTATGATTTACAAGATTTTTAACGTGTTGGACATTTAATCGTTGTATCTTTTTAAAGTATAACGACTAAATTGTGTTAGATTTTGGAACTTAATATTTATTTACGAGTTCAGTTCGTTAGAATCACTCAACAACGCACACACTCAATCAAAATAAACACAAAGAACAAAGAGAGAATTAAAAGAGGAATATTGGGTATTAGCTAAAAGTTTTATGGACGACTACATATGTAAGAAAAAACAATATATGGTTTCAATTTACTAAATATAGCTTTCAAACATTAATGAATTATATATTTCTATCAAATATTTATCAAATATCTATAATATATATCTACCATAACGAAATATCTACCATTATATTTGTACCAAATCTTTTATTATAGATAGGTCCCATATCCCAACATAGTTTACTTAAGAGTTAAGAAAATTTAATAGTTACGTAATTTGACTGAATCCGGTCTATTCTCCTGTTTAGTTTTTGAGATACAATCTTATCTATTTTTCTATGTAGTTTCTAGAAGGAATAATCTTATCGGTAACTATACAAAACTATTAATATATAAATCCTTAGTTGTTGTGGAGTTTTACATCTCAGTATTACCACGTATATATCTGCTTATATTAATGGACCGAGATTTTTAAGTAGACAACAACATTATAATATTGAAACGATATATTTGATACAAAACACACCCAAATCTAAGCCTCCTACTTGGATTATTTTTGTATGATGGCTAGGTAGAGCCCCTAGAATAGACATTAGACACTTGAGTCATTGACCCAAATGAGGCAACATGTTGTGCAAGAAGAACCTTGGAAGCCCTACTTTGTTGCCTGTTTTCTCTACATCTTTTTCTATTTGTTGTCTGTACTCTCTGTAGCTGAATTGCCTGTAAATGCTTGGCTTTGTGCAACTCTCAATCATCACATCATCAGATGGGCTATAGAAATATGCGAATGAAAATCTTTCCACTGCTTCAGAAGCAACCACTCTGTGTTTGAGGCTCCTAAATGCATCATTGCTCACAACCTGCATCACATTTTCAGCAAACATGACTCTCCTAAGAAAGGTTGGTGCTATGTTTATGTTCTTTCTTTTCCTATATTCTTGAGAGGAACCAATGTTCAAATTCTAGATCTTATAAGCTTACAATTTGGTTGATTGAAATCATATATGAAACGTATGGAAGATCTTGTTCTAGACTGGACAAGTACGTAGAGATTCCCGGGGGAATATAAGTAAAGAACATCATCTCCATGGGTATGAAACCTTTTGGGGAAACTAAAAACAAAGCAAGGAGAGTTTTTGCTCAAAGTGGATAATATCATGCTATTGTGAATGGTCGTGGTTCCTAACATGGTATCAGAGTCATACCCTTAACTTAGCAATGTCAATAGAATCCTCATATGTCGAACAAAGAATTTGTGAGTCTCGAACGTATAGTAAAAAATGACTCAAGTGCAAACAAATGATATATTTTGTTTGAGGGCTCTAGAGAAAGAGTTGAGTCTCGATTAAAGACAGATTGTTCGAGAGCTCCAGAGATATCAGGGGAAGGGGGATGGCTGAAAATTATTGGGAGAACTAGTTTCATATTGACTAATTAAGAGAAAAATCGTAGGTTTATAAGTAAGGAACACCAATCCTATTAGTACTAGACATTTTGAAGAAACAAAAAACAAATTCATGAGAACTTTTAATCAAAATAGATAATGATCGTGATTCTTTAACGCAATAAACATCCCCTAACAAGACATAAGTATAGGGCTCAAAATCATTACAAATTTATCTTTAAATGATTTTGTTACTTTATAGTCTTTTCTTTCTTAAAACCAAGCATGTTTTCCTAACCATCTGTTCTTTTGGCTTTAAAAACCCAACAACTCTCTTAAAAGCTATCAATCAACTCGAGCTATCGATCAATTCGAGTATAATTCAAATATTGTGATATCAACAGAAATCAATAAGTACATTTTTAATTCAAATGTTATATTTAAAAAAACCTAACCATGGAATTCATTTCGAACGATTAAACTACTACTAAACCGAAAGAATGGATCCATTTAATGTTATATATATATATATTTAACACTCTAAAAACCTTCTAATTTCCCATCTATGAACAGCATCCAAACCCAAAATCTCAGAAAAGTTGAGATGAAAAAAAGGGGAAAAGAGAGAGAAAAGTGAGGACCTGAAATAAGTCACCGATGTTGACAAGCAAAGCTTTTGGGTTTGGTTTAACAGCGAACCATTTTCCATCTTTCATGAGCTGCAGCCCACTGACTTGAGCTTGGTAGAGTATTGTGAGATAATCGCTATCTGTGTGAGGAATGAGGCCATACACTTGAGATGCAAATGGGCAAGGTGGGTATCTATTCAATCGAAAGCTGCTCCTTCCTTTCTCACACCTTTCCTTGAAATAGCACGCTTTTATGCCCAAACTTTGCCCTAAAATCTCCGCTATGCTCTCTGCTAACCTCCCAAACTTCTTCACCACTGCTTCCATTGTGGGTCTGTCAAATAATGTGAAGCACAAAAAAAGATGAGGAAAAATGGGAGCTCTTTTTTTTTTTTTTGTCATGTTATTGCCAAACAAACCATATCTGAGGAGCAATAATGGAAGAAAAGAAGAGGAGTAAGAGCCAAAAAAATGAATGTTTTGAGCTCCAAAATGAAGATAAGATAAGGGAGGGAGGGTGTGCCCCCACGGGGCTAACAAACGTGTTCATGTGATGTTCATGTGATGGGGTGATGTCAAACTATGAGTATTGCCCTTTCAGCCATGCACTCCCTGGTGCTGTGGAAGCACCCCTCGCAGGTACTTCACATGCCCTTTCAGCCCATGTGGGGTACCCTAGAAACATATTATCTATGTGTGTATATGCTTCTTCACCCCCCCACAGTGACCCATCTCATCCATCCAATAAACCTCTACCCATGTGCGTAATTGAAGAGAGATAAAAACAAGTACTATACAAATATTTCAAATTTGGTTCCTTTTTAGTCTTTATACTCTAAATAAACCATCCAATTTGTAAATCTCTAAATCACTTATTACCAACAAATTTGGTAAGCACCTTATTGTCATTTTTAGGCTTTCCTTTTCCGTTCCCCTCAAGCTTTTAAAATGCATCCGCTATGGGAAGGTTTCCACTTGCTTATAAAGAGTGTTTTGTTCTCCTCCCAACCAATGTGGGACATCACAATCCACCCCCCTTCGGGGCCTAGTGACCATACTGGCACACCGCCTCATGTCTACCCCCTTTGGGGAATAGCGAGAAGGTTGACACATCGTCCTGTGTCTGGTTCTAATACCATTTGTAATAACTCAGATCCACCGCTAGCAAATATTGTCCTCTTTGGGCTTTCCCTTTCGGGCTTCCTCTCAAGGCTTTAAAACGCATCTCCTAGGGTAAGGTTTCTACTCGCTTATAAAGAGTGTTTTGTTCTCCTCCTAACCAATGTGAGACATCACCAATTTATAGTTATATTTTAACAAATATAGTGAATAACTTGTCATGCTCAAATTTCGATTGAATTGAGGAACGAAAATAGTCAGTTTTAAAAGTATACAGACCTATAATTTACATCTTGAAACTACAAACAAAAACAAATCCATGTTGAAGATTTATGAACAAGATTTATGAACAAAGTGGAACGTTCACTAAGATAAACAAAAATTGAAAGTATAGAGACTAAAACATATTTAAACGAAAATTTATTTTAGTACAAGGTGTTTTGATTTGTTATCTTAAATAGAGTTCAAACCTATTACTTTTAAAGATCAGTTCAAACTTATCGAATAAAAAGACAAGAACAATAATGAAAACTTTTCAAACCCAAAAATAAAAATAAAAAAATAAAAAAAAATACCTTTTGTAATTAATGTTTTTGTAATTCAAAATGAGCTGTATGGAGGTACTTTTCTTGTGTTGGTACTTGCATGAAGACATTGAATTCAAAACCAGGGAAGCAAGTGAAAAGGGTGAAAAACAACGACAAACACACAGATATTTATTTACTTTTTTGTTTTTTTTTGAAGTAAAAGTAGTCTCTTCTCTGATAATATACCACAAGTAAAAGCCATCCAAAGACTTTGAGGCATTCATTTTCTAATACTTACTTTTGAGATTGGACACATTCTCATTTTTTAGGGTTTACATTAATCCTTGTTTTGTCGAACATTCGAGTATTCTTGAGAACAACAAAATTTTTTAAATAATTTTCAACACATTTTGGTCCCTAATCTCTTTATGGGTTAATTTCAACAATATTTTTCAGAGTGTTCTCTAAATCAATACAAAATCTAAAGCATTAACGCTAAATTCTTACATTTTTAAAGTTTATAGACTAAATTGTTACCTGCTGTTCTCCCAATTGATCGTGTGTACCCACATACTTCATACTTCTTCATAATGCCAATAACTTGATATTATATTACTACACAATCTTGTGCTTCTAGCCACATATTTTTTCTTCTTCATAATGCACTATTCTATGTTATATATATATATCATAGAATCTTGTACTTGAACTTGGATTAAAGAGTTAAAAGCCCTTAATTGTGTAATTTAACTTAATGATTAAGCCTAAACTAAATCTTCTTCTTTGTGGCACAAGAGGAGGAGATTTCCAAGCTAATTTTCACACTTAATTAAGAAAAACCCTAATCTTAGATTGATTATGCGTTTGTTTTTAATGATACAAACAAGAAAAGATTTGAAAATTAAAAAATTTAGAAGAAGAAGAAGAAGAAAAAGAAGAAGAAGAAGAAGAAGAAGAATAAGAATAAGAAGAATCCATAATGAAAGTAGAAAGGTAAAATTGAAAGAATTAGGGTGGTTATACCTGAGGGTGACATGCTCCTCCAAGTTTGAAACCTCCAAAACAGCCATATGAAAAGCTTCAGACCAAGAGATTTGACTTGGAGACATGGCCACTGGGTTACCCCATCGGTAAGTTCCAGCCAAATTAAGAACATTGCTCAAACTTTTCTTTGCAAATGGTTGATTGAACACTTTTTTTTGCTCATACATCATGCCCTTCAATACCCTCTCTGGAACCCCATGATTGAGCACTTGGAAAAAACCCCAATTCCTAGCAGCTTCAACCATCTCACTTATGCACTTCTCCCTCTCTGAATTCCCCATTTTTAGAAGCCCTAAATCAATCACTGGAAGCTCTTCTTCTTCCTCACATTCCTCCACTACTTCCCTCTCTTCTTCTTCCCCTACCCATCTCCCATTTTTACTCTCACTTTCCTCTTTCATCAGCGCATAGTACCTTACATGTAATGGCGGTTCAATTTCCATACTCATATTTCCCACCTCCTCTTTTAACCAAGGATGGAATACAAGGCATTGGTTCCAACCAAATGATCTCTTTTATAAAGCCCATCAAGTTTGGAACCATTATTATATTATGCTGTGAATCTAAATTTGTGTAAAGGGTGGAATCATAAATTTAGATTTTGTGATTGAAAATTCTATGGCTGAGTGAAGAACACGCGTTTGAGTGTGTCATCAGAGAAAAAAAAAAAAAAAATTGTGCAAGAGAGAAGAACGTACTTCAAATGGTTAAACAAATTATGAACAGATATATGTTTGTCAAAAAAAGAGCCAATCTCGCCGCATCCGAACTCGGGTTTTCTTTCAATTTTGTTCACCAAAATGTACGGGCTAACCAAACCTGATACCAATTTGGAAGACATAATGCAAATTACAAGACCAAGATGGCTATTGGGACACCCAAAGGCCTTTTACTCGCACACCCCTCACGATATAAAAACGATATGAGATGACAAGTTCGAGAATTTATTTGACATATTAAATGTTTGGATGGAAAATTGAGGCATTAAGGTTGAAATGTAGAAGTCGGCAATGAATTATGCACTATTCCATCGATATTTTAGTGGAAATCTGATTGTGTGGAAGTCGGCACATTTAAGTTTGATGTGAAGTGAGAATATGCATGGATACATAGGTAGGCCTCAACCGACCCTAAAAGAAAACAAATGATAATAATAACAATGTTTGTGAAAAGGTACCCATCTTTTTCCAATGTCCATCATCTCAAAAAGTTATCGAAATTCTTCCCAAGTGTGGAATGCCCATGTCGGCTTCCAAATAAAACAAAACAAAATAAATTTCTTCTTTAATTGCTCAAGATAAGACAACAGTAAACAAATCAATCGTAGTAAAAAATCTAAACGAAAACAATACAAAACATATATTTCTCAACTTATCTACTAACAAAGAACAGGGACAGATACCCATAAAAATACAAACCCATAAAAATACAGACTATATTGACGCCCCAGGTCAACACCCCTCTGAAACAGTGTAGCTCTCGATCACCTGGAGGAGAAAGGAGCAGAGTATCAAATTCCTAGTATATTTTCATGAGTTTTTTCTCTAATCTTTAGGAAGTTTGTTCTTAATCCTTCCAAACTTATGTGTAGGTGTTGAAGTTCCTAAATCAATCATGAGTCAACTGTGTAGTCCCATTTTTCTTACAGTAAAAGTACTCACCCTAAAATCTACGTGTATAGTTTCAAGTCTCTTCTAAGACTGATTTACAGGATCGCAACGCCAGCCTCAACCCATTTCTACACTTATAGAAACTTTTGTCTTAACATAACTACTATGTAGTCTCAAGTCTCTCTTTAGAATTGGTTTAATGGGATCGTTGCATCAGCCTTGGCCTATTTCTACCCTTAATAAAAAGTTCTTGTCTAGAGCTAACTACCTGTGTAGTCCCAAGTTCCTCCTCAAGACTGGTTTATGGAATCATAGCATCAGCCTTGACTCGACCCTATACTCAATAGTAACTCAAATGCCCTCGAGGATTTTGCTAAGCTTCCTTAATCATATTTAGATGTCATATAGGTTTACCAATTCTTTAAGAGCATCTAGGCAGTTTAAATCTCGTATCTCGTTTTTCAGGATGTTTGGGATTAACACCTTGGGGCTAATCCAACGTCTGAGTGCTCACAAATCTGTACCTCTAATCATTGCTCATCATCCTATGGTACCCGATCTACTAGAAACTATTGACCTAGGTCAACTCGAAAACTGCTCTAGCTCTATCGTCCTAAACTTAACTTTGTTCAAACATACCTTGCCACGGAGATATTCATATTGATCACCTAAGCACAAAATAAATAACCTAGAAATATACAAGCAACTCCATGGGGGAAATAACATCCATCATTCATTTGGAGCAAGATCACAAATATCTCATCCTCCATTATCAAAGTAGAAAGCATTAAAATAGGCATGCAATTTAAATTCTTATCCGAGGGGCATTTTCATAATTTTTCATACATGCATAGTCAAAATTGCCCATTAGAGTCCTGCAAATGCATATTTTAATCATCTAAGGTATGATATGCTTGCATAATTGCATGTCCTAGATATCCCTACCAGTATTACTTGCATCTAGTCTGTGTGGCTACTTACTAGGTGAAACGTGTCACTTTGAGCTTGCTTTTTCACTTGTTGGAAGCTCCAAATTTCTTGAAAATTCACTGTAGGTCTTGGTTCAAGTGAAATTGAGGTCAATATAGTAAACTGAATCATATATATATATCCCTTAGGCAGTTCTTTGAAAATGTACTTTTTGTATTATATGTTGAAGGCGCTATCAAATATGTACGAAAGATCGTCAGCTATGAATAAGGTGTATTTGATGCGGAGATTGTTCAATATACAAATGTTTGAAGGTGGATCTATTATTGATCGTATAAATGAATTCAATATGATTGTAAGAAACTGAGTTCAATGGAAATTAATTTCAAAGATGAAATTAAAACATTAATTTTGATGTTATCTTTACCGAAGTCGTAGGATATTCTTGTTGCCGTGATCAGCAGTTCCTGAGGATCTAAGAAACTGAAGTTCGATGAAATCCGAGATGTAGTTCTCAGCAAAAGTATTCGCAAACGAGAAATTGGAGATTCATATAGTAGTGATCTTAGTGTTGACCAAAGGGGAAGAAGTAAATCGAATGACCCAAATAAAATTTGATTAAAATCAAAGAAGCGTGAAAATTTTTCAAATAAACCAAATGTAACGTGTTTGTGTTGTGGAGAAAAGGGTTACTTTCGGGCAAATTGTACAAGACCAAAGAGAAAGCAGAATCACAAATCGAAAGATGATAATGATTCTATAAATTTAGCGAAAGACATTGGGGATGCTCTAATCTTCATCGTTCTCAATTGATTATTGGATTTTGGATTCAGGTGCATCTTTTTATTCGTCTCCAAATAAAGAGTTGTTTTTGAATTTGAAGTCTGAAAATTTCGAGAAGGCATATCTTGCCGACAACATAACTTTGGAAATTGAAGGAAAGAGGGATGTCTACATAAAAAAATCGTGTAGAAAATTAGTGGATATGAAAGGATGTGACTTATATTTCTGATCTAAAAAAGAACTTGATCTCTATTGGTCAGTTAGATAGCACAGGTTATGCAGCAGAGTTTGGGAAGAATTCGTGGAGGATTGTGAAGGGTGATGTGGTGGCAACACGTGGCACAAAATCTAGAACCCTATACACCACTTCAGCGTATATAAACATAGTTGCTATTGTTGAGAGTGCTTCAAATCTAAGTCTATGACATAATAGACTTGGATATATGAGTGTTAAAAAAAATGAAGATGTTGGCTGCGAAAATTAGAAGATCTGAAATCTAATGATATGGGTCCTTGTGAGAGTTGCATATGGGCAAACAAAAACTAGTTAGGCTTCACAAATGCTAATGGAGAACTAAAGAAAATGCGGTTGAAAATGGTCCATATAGACATTTGGTGACCATCTCCAATTTCATCTCTTGGTGGATCAAAGTTATATGTCACCTTCGTCGATGATTTCAATAGGAAGATGTGAATTTATTTCCTGAAAAAAAAAATTAGATGTGTGCCACATCCAAGAAGTGGAAAGCCGAAGTTGAAAATCAGACTGGCTTGAAGATCAAATGCATGAGGTTTGACAATAGAGGAGGGTATGAAAAGTTGGAATTCAAAGCATGTTGTGCAGCTGAATTAGATTAACGATGACAGTTCGAGTAAAACAAGACAAAATGGTGGTGCTAAAAAGATGAACAGGCAAGGAGTATGAAGATTTATTATGGATTGCTAAAGACATTCTGGGTCGATGCTATAAATACAATAGCCTACTTGATAAATAGAGGGTCGTCAGTACCCTTGGGGTTCAAGTTGCCAATAGAGATATGTATAGAAAAAAACTCAAGCATTCTCACTTGAGAACTTTTGGTTGCACTGCATATGTTCGTGTTTATTAGAGAATATTGATAAACTTGACGTTGAGGTTGTGAAGTGTTACTTCATAGGCTATGGTTCTGACAAGTTTGTGTAAAAATTTTGGGATGTCAACAACAAAAGTGTCCCGAGACATTGTGACGTGGCTTAAAATGTCATGTATAAGGATAAAGAGAAGAAAAGTTCCAGGACAATGAAACAAGTGGGAGTTGAGGCTGAGTTGTCAAAAAATTCACCTAGTGATGTGGCAAATACTCAAGAAACTACTGAGACTGTTACTGAGTAACTAGAGATGACTCTAGTGACACCTGAGCAGGTGTTTAGAAGATCATACAGAACTATCAGAGTACTAGTATGTACCTTCATTACACTATCTGTTCATGACTGATAAAGGAGAACCAGAGCCCCTTCATATGCACTACAATTTGAGGTTACAATCAAGTGGGAGTAAGCCATGGGTGATGAGTTGGATGTCTAGACTTCAAAATTGTGTTTCCCTTTCATCTACCGAGTCTGAGTACGTGGCAATAGCTGAAGCTGGAAAGAAGATGATATGGATGAAATATTATCTAGAAGAATTAGGCGAGAAGCAGAACGAGAAGATTTTTCATGTAGTTAGTTAAGAGTGTTATACAGTTGGTGAAAATCTTGGTTTATCAAAGGCAAAACATATCAAAAGACGATACCATTTCACTTGCTAGTTAGTGGAAGATGGTGATGTGTTTCGAGAAGATAGATGGTGCAAAAAATCCAACAAACATATTGTTGATCGTAGTTTGAGAATAAAATTCTTGGTTGACTAGATCAATCTCAAGTGGGAGAATTATTGAGTTATGGAGTTTGCCCTCGCTCAATGGTTATAAATAGTAAAAGTATATATATGAAAAATGACATATAAAGTAAATGACCATATAAACAACTATGTACCGTAAAAGGGTATATCTAGAATAAATAATAAACTTATCAGAGTTATACATAAGAGAGGGTTATATCTACTAAAGCTATATATAGTAAATTGAACTATATATATCTCCTTCTAAGAATGTATTCTTTGTATTCTCTTATTGTACATCTA